AGCTGCTCTATTTGAGCAGCCTGCCCCGCCAGGGTAGAATCCCTGGCAGCAACGTCTTCCATTGCCCGAGCGAGGGCCGCTTCCGCCTCCTCCTTCTGATCCCGGGCCCTCTGGAGGTCCATCCTGGACCCGTGGTACCGAGCAGCTATGATAGAAATCTGCTGGGTAGCCTGCAAAGGAAGGAAAAAGTGTTAATCACAGAAATGGAAAGCAAGAGTGAAGGAACCAAAGCAAAAATAAACTCACCACCAGGGAATTCTGGATGATGGAGCGGAACAACACGTTGGTTGATCGCCCCCTATGAGCCGCCATGTCGGCCTCAAAATGCAGTGTCTCACTCACTGCATGGGCGACATGAGGATCCTGCAGAGGGAATCGTCGACCCTGATCACTCGGTTCATGTGATCAGTGGCTCGGGGATTCCACTCCGCGGCCTCCACTGTAGGCGGAAGGGAAGGAGTAGTCTGCTGCTGTGGTTGCTGTTGTCGAGGCTGTTGCTGCTGCTGCTGCTGCTGTGGGGGAGCAGGGGGTAATCCACGGCCCCTCCCGCTTTGCTGCTGAGCGGGAGGTGCCCTGGGTCCTCGGCTAAGGCCATCATGCCGATGCTTCACCCTCCTCTCCTCCTCCACCTGAGGGTCCCGGTCTCGCACCTGACCCCGACCAGGAACCCTTGATGATGGGGCAGAACTGGTCCCCGCTGAGGAGGTGCCGCCGGTCGTTCCTCGACCTCTCCCGGCTGCAAGGGCCTGCCTCTGCCTCAAGAACCCGAGGTCGATACGAGGAGTGTTTGACATCGCGACTTCAAGCGCGTCCTCGGCGTCCAAAGATTGAAGGATTTGGAAGTCCGGCCACAAATCCCCCGGAAGTCCCCACCTCGGCGTCTGAAGGAACAAAGTCCTCTCTGACCCCGAGCTCTTCAGCAACTCCCTCGACCTCTGCCTCTGAAGCCCGATCCGGGTCTTCCTCCAAATTTTCCTCAACCTCTAGCCTCGCCGCCTGATCGAAGAGTTCTGACCACTGCGAAGGCTCAAAAGGTTGAGGAAGCTGTGAAAACTTCTTATACCCGGGGGTATAGTACAGCAGATTATGAGCAGCTCGGCCAAACCCGTTGTCACCCGTGAAACTCCAAACCGTGATTAGGTCGGCAAAGTTCACCAGCGACCGAGGGGTGGAGCTGTTTCCCGAGCAGGAATATCTGCACAAACAAAAAAGTTGTCAACATGGGAAGTCCCGAGAAACAAATAAGAAACCCAAAGGAACCGACGTACTTGTCGTTCTCCATTCCAGAGGGCATAATAAGTCATTGTACTCGGGACCAACACCCCTCTGCCAAGATCCCTTGAAGATTAAGATGTCGTCCTTGTACCCCTTGTCCGAGTCAGGAAGATGGGTTACAAGGTACATGGAGGGGTCCCTGGCTTTGAGGTAGAAGTGTTGGTGAGGCATGACTCTAAGAAGGGAATAACAGAAAAGGAGATCATTGAGCCCAATATTTACCCCGAGGCGCCTATTGAGCTCTAAGACCCCCATGATTATTCGGAAGACATTAAGGCAGCATTGCCCGGGGAAGAGGCGAAAGCGAGAAAGGAACTGAAGAAGCAGGGGGGTAAAGGAAACCTAATTCCACCCTCTATGATGGCCTTGGTATAGAAAGGCATGGCATCCTCGGCCCCGAGGATAGATGAGTGCACCGATGGGTCAAAATCCACTACGTCTACGCACGGAGGAATGCCGTACTTGGCCCTAAACCTATCGATCTGCTCCTCGCCTTTCACCTTGTATTTCCCTGACCCCGAGGGACCAGCCGGAGGATTCTCGGGAGCAGGGCGACGACGAGGCATCTCTAAAAGAAAAGGAAGAAAAGGGTATTTGCTTTTGAAAACCCTGAGGAAGTTTCCCGAGGGTTTAAATCACGACGTATCGACCGGATGACACCACCATTCAATCGGAAAACAAAAAGGCTAGGAGGACGAAAAGAAAGAAGGTTCTGAAACTCACCCGAACGTCAAAAATGAAGTTTTTCTGAAAAAACTTTAAAACAACTCCCTCCAGGAAGTTCAGGAATCAACAATGGGTCTGCTGGCTCTGTGATTTTGAGAGAAAGGGCAGTCGACGATGGCAGAGGAAACAAGAACTCCGGCGAAGGTTCAAGAAACAGATACTCTGGGGAAAAGTTTGAAATGGCAAAACGAAGAAAACCGGAGAGGAACCCCCTTTATATAGGGGAAATTTTCATCATTGGGCGCGAAGACCGAAACGGCGCATTTAATGCGCACGACATCCCAAACCAGGGAAAGCGGCTCGAGGCCATGATGAAGGACGGGTGGTAGTTGGGAAACCCTTCGTCTCCTTACAACGCGTGTCCTCGGTGTCAGAAGATCGAAGGCTGGGGGGCAGTTGATGGGACTCTTTTGAAATGCCCTATGATGAGGACACGTGTCCTCGGGATTTGTCAAAACACTGTTGCTTGGACCAAGCGCCATCGGCGCACGAATGTCCTCGCCCCCGAGGTACCTCATACAGGACATGCGTTCAGTATATTGCACAAACAACACGTGTCCTCGGTCACCCATGAACCTCGGTCGCATACCTCCCTCGATCCCCGAGATGAGCCTTTCCTCGGTGCCGAGGGTTGCTCCATCCTGGGCGCTTCCTCTACTCCGAGATAAGCTATTGACATATAGGTCACTAGCGTAGGCTAATCTAGGCTGCTCATCATGACCTCGTCTTACACAAGTAATGTCAGAACACATCGGAATACAGTAGTCACAGGCAATAAGGGATGGACGTGTGGCAAATGATGTTACATCAAAGACAGACAAACTGCACGTCGTTACTGACACACGGCTTGGGGAAGCAAACAATTAATTGCACCCTTCTGTTGACGAGACCGCATTCAATGCGATAAGGTTCGGATATGAAAGGCAATAAATGCTCCTATTACAGAGCATTTATTGCATCCTTCTCGAAAGAAGCATATTGTACCGTCGGCATCCCGACGACTCAGCATTAATTGCTCGGGACCCCGAGCAGTCAATTAGAGAAGACATTCCTCATCAAAATCAATACACACGCTACCTGTGCCTAATGATCACCTACTGACCACACTTACAGCAATCATGAGCTTTTAAGGTATAAATACTCCTCCCAAAAGGCAAAGCGGGTATGCAATCACAAACTCTCTACTACAATACAGCTTTCTCAGGGTTTTCTTCTTCCTCTCTCTCATTCAAAGACTGACTAGATCGTCGGAGGGGATACGCCGGAAAACACTCCGACGCCCTTCTAACCTGTTCCTCTTTGTTCCAGGATCCTTTTTTAGCCTTACTGGATCGTTCTCCCTCTCACCCAGGGTCTCCCGTTGCCGCTCCAGTCTACCATCTGACCTCGCAGGCTGGTATTTTCAGATTATTGTTTTGTTGGCTGGGATGCTTGATAACCCTGAGATTGCTCTCGATTCTCTCTCTGTTTGGTAAGAAATTTTTTTTTTCTACCTTTGGTTAATATCAACGTTAAAATTTAAATTATAAGTTAAAAAACACCAGTTTAAAATTGTTTGTAATTTAGAACTTAAAAAAGTGGTAATTTAACTTTAAAATATTAAAGCTTTTGGTATGATATGAGAAAGTTATTGAAGTCATCCTCGATTGAGCAAACTCAAGGTGTCAAGGAATCATTCGTACCAACTTCTTTCAAAAGACTAATGACTATAACATGGTTACGACAGAGTCACTTGCCACTTCTTAAAGTTTTCTTACTTTGTCCGTTACTTCTTTAATTTATTGTAATTACACCGACAATAACCATAGTCTAGTAGGCAAAGGAATCTATAGTTATGTTAATTCCACCAACTTCTTCTTAATTTATTGTACTTTCACCAACAATAGCCGCAGTCTAGTAGGCAAAGGAATCTATAATTAAGTTAATTCCACAAACATCTTCATAATTTATTGTAATTACACAGACAATAACTGTAGTCTAAGTAGGCAGAGGAATCTATAGTTAAGTTAATTCCACTAACTTGATGTTTTGTTTGGGGCTAATTGCAGTATAACTGTCTTGGGATGGGTGTTCACGATCTCAGTTGGGTTCAATGCAGCGGCCAGGTCAGTTATCACGTTTATATTTTGAGTAATGTTGTTCATATCTAAAAATTTAATTTAATTTATTAATATAATAATATAATTTTATTTAAATAATTGAATCAACACTAAATTTAGAAATTTGATAGGACTTACAACCAATATAAAGACTATAGTAAATTTGGTAAGCAACGAGGACTATAGATAGCCCTATCAGTTATTAGTGGGTTACAAATGCTTGTATGCAGTGTACAAAAATGTATGGCATACACTTCTTGTTAGGGGATTTGACTATGGTACCCAAAAAAAAATAAAAATTGGTACTGTAGTTCAATTTATCATATTTGTAGTTACTGTTACCATATATTTCACTGTTATGTTATCTTAAAAAATGGTAATTCCAACAATGGTAAAAATATTCATAAAAATAGTAAAAATACCTACAAGTATTGTAAAAATACCCACAAATGTGGTAAAATATATTTTAGCAAAAAAAAGTAATAAACATAGTTACCATAAATGTGATAAAAACATCTACAAGAATGATAAAAATACTCACAAAAGTCATAAAATTTTTGGTCATAAAATTTTTGGTTATAAAATAACTCACAAAAATTATAAAAAACACCCATTAAAATAGTAAAAACAATTGAGGTACGGTACCAAAATTATTTATTTGGTACCACAGTGAAGTCCCTTTTGGGGGTTAATTAGGAGAAATGAGATTTTCGTGACAAAATTTTCTATTGTTTTCATTATTTTCAATTAACTCAATTAGAATTCACTATACATTAATGAGTCTTTTAGTAATAAGCAATGTTAAATGGACTTAAAATTAGACTTGATAATTTCAACAATTAATTTTATTGTGAATCTCAGCATTTATTAGAACCCACTACCTATTCAATAATTGGTATTATGAGCAGTGTAAGAGTGGGGAATGAGCTTGGAGCTGGACATCCAAAGGCAGCAGCATTCTCTGTCGTAATCGTGACAACTTCGTCTTTCATCATATCCGTAATCGCATCAATAGTCGTGCTCGCATTGCGCCATAAGATCAGCTATCTTTTCACTGAAGGTGACATTGTGGCTAATGCTGTCTCAGATATGTGCCCACTTCTTGCTGTCACTATAGTTCTCAATGGAATCCAACCCGTTTTGACTGGTAAGTTTTTCAAGCCAATAGTTTAGTGGGCATGTGATTTTGCCAATATCCGATTCCAATGTATGACAAAAATTATATGCGAATTTCAAGTCAATTAGATTCGGATACATATTCAGTCCATTTGTGTATGGTCCCATCTTCTCTGCCGGTCCCCTAGATTCACCATTGCATGCATGTTTTTACAAGAAGACATGGACGAAGTTTCTCTTACTTTCCCTTTCAATTAACATGAGGTCTTCCCTGAAGGTGTGGCTGTTGGATGTGGATGGCAAACTTTCGTTGCGTATGTGAACGTTGGATGTTATTATGTAGTTGGAATTCCTCTAGGTGCATTGCTCGGTTTCTACTTCAAATTGGGGGCTCAGGTAATTTAATAATATCGCAGTTACTTCAATTAGTCATGAGGGTATCAAATGACAAATTGTAGAATTCGGAATTTCGGATAGAGAGAGATCCCTTCTTTCGATAAAATTCCTGCTGGATCACCTATGGCACATTAAGTAGGACCCATTAAATATAAGTGGACCCCATATTCATTGATAAACGGTGATTCATCTAAAAATAAATTAAAAAAAAATATATTAGAGGGGGAACTAAATTAAATTTGAATTCCCTCTAGTGTAATTTTTCTTCGGCTTATCAAAAAAAAATATATCACATGTTATATTAGTAAGATGCACATTTATATCCAGTGGGTCCTACTAAATTCACCATTGACAATTTATCATTGAAATCAAAATTTAAGACAAATGTATTGGAGGAGAACAAATTAAATTTTCCAAAAATGTATTATGCAAATCTTTATCGCTACAATCAAGGAGCAAAACTTTATTTTGGTATGATAATTTTGATTACTTTAAAAACAAAAATGTTTTAATATTGTTTGCAAAGTATTTTGAAAATAGAGAAAATTTTAGAGTTTATTTTAGAAATATCCAAACATCCTGAACACCACTATCTATACACATTGAACTATAAGATTATCTATATTTAGTCATTGAGCGTTTGGTTTTGATGAAAACCAAAAAAAATTTCCATATTAATTAAAATAAAATAAAATTTTAATTCTTGAGAATAATTAAAAAAATATATATGGTAATAATTATTTGTGATGGTTGTAGGGAATATGGTCGGGGATGCTCGGTGGCACATTGGTGCAAACCGTGATACTAGTATGGACCACTTATCGGACTGATTGGAATACAGAGGTAATTAAGTCTGCTTTAATTATATTTTATTTTTTTCTCATAAACCAATAATCACCATGAACGAGATGCATACCCACAATTCTAATTAGTCGGATATCAATTGATACTTTGATAGATTTTTATCAATTTAAATTTATTATATTATACTTCAAGGATTCAAATTTGTGTATACTAATATAAAAATATGCTAAAAAATATGTTGTTATTTGATGAAATTTCATTGAAAAACCGACACGATTTGCTAAATTTCAACTCCATTGAGTTGATCTTATTTTCGGATTGTATGTTTAGTTTTAATTGAATTCAGATTTGAAAAGTGTTTGTGTCCAATTTATTAAATCAGATTTTAATAATACAAAATTCAATTTAGTGACAAGTAGGATTGATAATCGAGTAGCATTTGTCGAGTTTATTTAGAAAATGAACCGAACCCAAAACAAGCCGAACTCAAGCCAAATTCGACTAACTTGACTCTTTTATATATAAACGATTTGAACTTTGAAAACTCGTTTAAAAAATTATTCAAGTTCAGCTTGAATTCAAGTTGAGTCTTATCCTAATCGAGCACAAATAACTTGGGTCAATTATCAGCCCTTATGACAAACCTACATGGATGTGCCTTTTGTACTATTGTATGTGATTCAAATTAAAACTGCAGGTTGAATTATCTTTGAAGAGATTGGATATGTGGGATGAAAAGAAGGAACCACTTCTACAGGGGTGAAACAAAGCTTCATCAATTTCATTATTGCAGGCCAGCCATCATTTAACTTTTTATTCTTTGTTTGATGTTTCATAACTGAAGGACTATTAACGGTAATGGACCTTGTGACTGGTCTGAATAAATTCATTTTGGTTTTTTTTTTATGTTTTGTTTCCTTGTAAGACGAAGTCTTTTTTTTTTTTTCCTTTAATGATTGGACATTCTAAAAATATGAGTGACACACTTGTTTATAAAAATTTTTGTAAGTTAACGGTGAATTTGGACGAAAGAGTCACATTGAGTTAAATTATATAATTTATGAGCTAAATTAATGCAAAATATAATTTAAAAACTTGATTGAAATAAACAACATAATTATTTTGTACGTTAATATCGTTCCCAGAAGAAAACAATCGCTCCATCATTACTCCAACAAACAAATGTGGTCACAACATAACCATTAAAGGAGTTGTCTATGGTACTTAAAAAATAATCGGTATTATAGATTTATTTATTATAATTATGAATTTTTTTATCATTATTTTGAGTATTTTTATCACTGTAATTGTACCAAAAAAAGTAGCAGACATCCATTTTTTTTTTTTTTGTCGTACCATAGTCAAGTCCACCATTCAAATGGGTTTTACTTTTTAAATCAAGGACGAAAATGGTAGGTAGTCGACCGCTGAATTCAAGAGAGTAGTTGTTGCAACTAAGGATGATAGCGGACTAAGAAAGAACATATATTCGTCAAAATCTATCCCGTTTGGATCAGGGATAGACTATACGTATTGGACGGTGGACGTATATGAGAATACCCGTATAAACCCGTGCAGAAATGAAGGCGGGGATGGACTTACTCTTATCCCCGCCCCGCCCCGTTACTTGTTATATATATATATTCAAATAGGTAATATACACTACCAGAGGTAATAAGTGCAAACATTAGCAACAATCCCTAACTTCATTGAACAATATGGATAATATCAGGCTTTTTAAAATTAAAAAGAAAAAGAAAGCCAAAAAAATGGTTCTGGGGCATCACAATAGAAATTTAAATCCATTTGTATTTTTGGTATGACTTCCGTGTTGCAATTGTCATTCGAGCAACATGCACACAGCTACTTATCACAATTTTTTATTTTATTGGTTCTACTAGGTAACTGACTTGGAGTCAATTTAGATATCCATAGCTGGTAATTGATTACGTGTCATCAATCCTCTAACAAACATATTATTGAAATAAAAATGCAAAAAAAATGATAAGTTAAGAAACTAAAGTTCCAAGATTTATGACATTTCAGGATTTATGTAAATATTTACACACTGTAAGAGCTATGAGCTTTATTCAAGAATGATATTTTGATGGTTTTTTGTCATATGAAATCAAATGAAAAAAATTGTTACAATTTTACATCGATGCTGGTTTACTGGCTCTATACTTACAGGGAACTCCTTAGTTTGATTCTTCAACTCATCTCCTGTCACTATAAAGAATGCAGTGTGTCTATACATAAAAAGAGAAATGAATAACATATTTTATGAAATAAAAAGGGGTAAAATGTTGTTGGATTATTTAAATGTTAGATTTATTTAGAATTTTAGATTATGTTGATTTGAACTTGGGCTTGGGCGGGTACAGGGGAAGAGGGGACGGGGACAAGAATTAAAAATTTACCCGCGAACGGGGATGAGGATGAAAATTATATCTGTTAATGAGAGTGGACCGAAGATGGAAGAATATTTTTTAAGCGGGTACGGGGATAAAGACTATACCTCCTCTCCCGCTTTGGTCCATTGACATCCCTAGCTGCAATCTCGATTCTTTGTAACAAAAAAAAACGTAAGAAAATGGTAATTTCTAAATGAAGAAAAAAGTAATAGATTACCCCATGTATTTCATTTATCACAAATTTAAGTAAAATTCATATTCAAATGAATACACCATTGGATTGGGACATATCATTAAATAAAATTGAGATATATATATATATATATATATATATATATATATATATATATATATATATATATATATATATATATATATATATATATATATTATAAAGTTTCATGTCTGATATGGTTTACAAAAAAGAAAAGGTAAAATATATTTTTAGTCCCTAAAGTATATATATAGTGTCTATTTGATCCCTAATTTTTCAATTGTGTATATTTGGTTCCTAAAGTTCTTAATTTGTATTATGTGCTCTAATTCCAAACGTCTGTCAAAAAATTGTTGACATCTTTGGTTATGCACCAATTACATGGAATTAAATACACACAAATTAGTAATTTTAGGAATCAAATAAATACAAAATTAGGAACTATTTGATTGGCGGGTGACCAACATTATCACGATTTTCTAATAGACGATTGAGATTGGATTTTGTAGATAAAAGTTAAAAATTTTAAGGATCAAATAGACACGATTGAAAGATTGAGAACTAAATTAACATTACACGCATACTTTGAGGACAAAAAAATGTATTTTAACCAAAAAGAAAAGCCAATTCGTTAGCCATTAACTTTTAAAAAAGTCAGACTCGGGTTTTCAAGTATACTTATTTCAATCGTTTTGAATAATTGTCGCTAGAATTGTAATTTGGTTGTCAATGGGAATTTGAATGACGTTTCCGTTTTTTGAATATTTGGAATCCCATCAGCATGATCTTTTTAATCATCGTGCCATGTACCTTTTTCAAAATTTAATGTTATTAAATAAATTCGGGATACATCTAATCACAATAAATTATCAATATGCATTAGGTGCATAATCTAAAGGAGGGCCTAGAGAGACTTTTTGCATGATTCACCGAACCCAACCAAACTAATAAATACTGCATAAGAGAGTGGGAGGCCGGCCCCACTCCCATCCATATGGAGGTGCACACTTTTTTAGGAACATATATAAAAGTATAAGGGTAGAAGTCAATGAAGGCCTACCAAATCCAACAGCTATGATGATACTTGAATTTATATTTCGAGATAATAACTTCTAAAATCATAGCTAAAATGGGCCTTCACATTCATTGTTTTGTCTCGGTGTTTATCAAATGTTTGCATCTTTGGTGTGAGGGAACTTTCCATCGATATGAATAATCTATGAAGTTGGTGAGAGAATTACTCCTCTTGGGTGGTGGCAGCAACTGTCTATTTATTGGATTTAGACCTCCTCCATCATTCATTCTCTTCAATTTCTCTTAATACAGTGTTAGATGAGTGACACGTGTAAAATTTTGAATTTAAAAAAAAAAATCTTATTCATTGAAATTTAAAATTTTACACGTGTCACTCATCTAACATTGTATTTAAGAGAATTAAAAGGAAAGGATAATGGAGAGAATCTAAATCCCTATTTATTAGCATCGTCACTGCATAATAGGAGAGGGGAGAGATCTCTGGGATTGTGTCTGTTTCAATAATCCTACATTATTTTTTATGGATCTCTGTCAACTTGTTTAGATAGGGATCATATCTAATATTTTTTTTATTTTTAATAAATTATCCATTATTAATGAATGAGAGTTTCACTTATGTGTAATGAACTTCAAAGTAATGTACCAAGAAAGATGTATTTTGGTGTTTGGTATAAACGAGAAAAAAAAAAGGAAGATAAAACTACACTTGCATATGCTACCATTATAGATTCAAATGAAATTAAACATCTCCATCATATATAACAGATTTCTAGAATATCCATTTTAAGTGACATAAAGTAAGAAAAGGTTAGAAACACAAACAAACATGGTCCAGCCAGTTCGCCTCCAACCAAGGACTAACTACCTATACAACACAGGTGGCATTTCTTCATATTGATTATTGGTATTTGTAATAGGTGAATGGCAATCCAATGTCTGTCTGTGTGTTTTGAAATGTGAATAAATTTCATGGTATTGAGAATTGGGATAAATCCACATCCCATCTTTTCTTTTTTTGGGCCAGACACTATTACAAGGATTGAGACGATGAGACTTGAGCTCGCACCTTAAGGTCCAATAAGAAGGGTGGTGACCATTAAATCCATCACTAACCACCCACATTGTGAAGCTGGATCGCAAACTTGAATGTGAACTTTCAATAACCAAAACAACAAATGAGGAGATTCAGTTTTCATTTGTTCCCGAGCGACGTTTTGAATTTTCAGATTGAACATTCATGAAACTTTTCATTCATTAAAATGTTCCTTGGCTGTCTATGAACAGTTAATTAGGCCATGGAAGATAAAATGGTTGGAGTTCTAGAGGGTAACAAAAATATTCACTATGTAAAGACCGTATGGTGGCCTGTTTACCTACCAATTATAAATATTTTCGGCAGCTATAAATGTAACCTAGTAATGAACATTTGAGCCAATCAACAAGACCACACACATATTGATGTAAAAGTCCAAAAGTTTCCTTCATCATTGTGATTAAATGGAGAATATGAAAATTTTAATTGAATAATGCTACATTTATCAAATTTTGAGACCAAATGATATAGAAGCTGACCTGAAATTCTTTATTTGGTGTTATGTCATTTAGACCCCAATAAAAACTTCAAATAGTCAGTTGTTATATTATTTGGCTCTAAATTTGGTCCCAAAATTTGATCAGTATAAGATTACTGATTTTAATTTAATGAAGTCATTATGCATTTTTAAAGGTTATTATTGAAGATTACATAATTTTTATCACCTTTTAATATTTGATAAAAATGTCCTAATACTATTATTTGGGGGTAAAAAAGAAAAATAAATATTTTTCAAGTATATTGACATTTTAAAATTGTATAAACATAGATTTATATTTAATTTATTTATATCGCCTAGATAATCTTCAACTTGATGGGATTTCATAAATCCATTTGTTCTAATGGTGCTTGGATTTTAGGGCCCAAGCCCAATTAAGATGGGATGATGTTGTGAGAATGGTTTTGCAGATTATCGATTTATGGTTAGTTAGAATAGGAATATAAGTGGTTCACCTTAATCGGAAGACTAAAGCTACGTCCACTATCAATGGAGCTTCTTGCTCGTTG